GGCGGGAGCGGGAGCGGGAGCGGGGCTGGAGCCGCCGCCGCGCCACGTGACGGCCCGGCGGGGATAATAAGCCGCAGCGACGATCCGCGCCGGGCTCCTCCGCAGGGTCAGCCGCAGGGACCTACAGCAGCAGCCAGAGAGAGAGAGGGACAAGGAAGGAAGGTCACCACTGGTCAGCACCTACCTGGCAGTTTCAGCCTCTGCTCTCAGCAAGACTCATCGGTATTCAGTCCCTGTCACCTTGGAAAAAGAAAAAGAAAAAAAAAAAAAAGAAAAAGAAAAGAGACACTGCTACCTATAACCCATCAGCAAGTAAACTAAACTTAAATATATATATTTGAACATAATAGAAGCCACAGCAGTTGAAGCTGATCCCCGGGTAGCATGAATAGCATGAACCAGATAGAAACAAACATGCAGTACACCTACAACTATGAAGAAGATGAGTACATGACCCAAGAAGAAGAATGGGACAGGGACCTGCTCCTGGATCCAGCATGGGAGAAACAGCAAAGGAAGGTCTGGAAATAAAGTAATACATGTCTGTATATGTGCTTCTGTGTGCAAAGATGTCCTCTCTTACTGCTGTGCTGCATCTGGAATTGCCAGGGCTGTGCAGTAAGGGCTTCTAATTTTGTCAGAGAATATATTTTACATCATATAAAGCATGTATATAATATATATTAGCTATGCCGTATTTTGAGGATAAAGCATTCACTTTTTGGATTCTTAAGTGAAACCTATGTAAGATGAAACTAATTTATGAGAATCAGGAGTTTCTTTTTATATGACACTGGAAATATTCTGTCAGTACCTCTAGATTTATGTATTAGTATTTCATTAATTTTTAACTTCACTTCTTGGGGTCTACCTTTTGGAAAGCAGACTCTGAACTGATGTGCGTGCTTGATTGCTTTTCAAAAACAGTAAATTGCAATTATAAACAGAGAGGTGAATGAGATGGTTCAAAACTGGTGTACAAAAAAGTTTGCAATATTTCTGAGAGCAGCCTGAGAAATCGCTTTTGAAACTGTGAGTCAGCTCTTATTAGTATTTACTCTTAATTCTGACTGAATGATCTGACAAGGAAAATATTGCCTAGACATGTATCCAGGCTAGATCTGGAAAACCATTTCATGATTAGGTTCCCACATGCCAATTCACTGTCTGTGAAAAAACGTGTCTATAAACTTCTTGGAATATACCATTGTAGAGGAAATGTTTCTTGCCTTTTAGGTGAAAGAAAACTATTATGCCTGCCAGCACTGCCCATGTTCTTTTTCTGAACATAGACAGAGATTATAATCCCATCTGCTGCCTTGTCAATGGTTTGGTACTTTAGTAGTATTTGCAATATCTAATTTCAGAACACCGAGTTTTAAGCAGCATATGGAAAAGAGAGAGATGAAATATTGTAAAGGATTTGTTACTTCCTAATGAAAAAGGTGATGTTAAAGTCACAGCTGACAGATCCAGGATTCAAAGGTTTTCTGATGGTTACAAGAATGAAAAAATAAAGGGAGGAGAGAGAAATAGTGCTGTAGATAATAAGGGTGAATGTGCTTTTTGCGGTACCTGCGGAGCTCACTTCAAAAACTTAAGCACAAGTTGCCAGCATATGTTTGATGGCAGAATCTGGCACACTGTTACAGTCACAGCTTCTGTAAAAGCTGTACTATAAAAGTAGGAGCTGCTGGAATTGTTGGGGCCAATGAGTTTGTTTTTCCATTAAAAATGGTAGAACCAATATTTTCCTCTCAGTTTTCACTTGTAGCCTTCTTCCTTCTCTGAGTTTTATCTGTTTTTATTAGTTTTCCTACATTCACACCTATTCGGATCCTGCTGTACGAATCTAGTGGGGGAAGTTCAGGGCTAGGCTTCCTTGATTACCAGCTGCTGTAACTCCTAACCCATTATTAAGCTGTACTCATTAACACTGACATTTGTTTTAATGTGACACTCTTTAGATGGTGAACTATTATTTTGTGTTTTATAATGAGAATGGAAAATATCTTGGTGCTTAAGTGCTTTAGTGATTTGAAACTGCTCAGCCATAACAAGTTGTGGTTACATCTCATTAGGATTCAGTTGTCCAGCATTTCAGAGCATGCTGTTTTCAAAATAAAGAAATAAAGGACAGTTACTAGATAGTCAGCACTCTAATGCAGTTTTCCTACAATGCAGATAAATGATAAAAAATAAAGATAATTTGTATTCTCCAGGCTTTCTTATGTTTACAGTGAATCTCCTGACTCTTACAGAAGGGCAGGGAGTAGTTAGAAGAAGACTCCATAGCAAATTTTTTGTTTCCATTCCTCCAAACAGACAGCGCTTCAGCAGAAAGTCACGTTTCCACATTGATAAGTTAAAGCAGACTCTGCTTTACTTCCATAAAGTAGAGAGTTTGTGGCTTTGCTACTTTACGTTGCCATTTCTCAAGGGCTTAGTTTTAATATTAAAGTGATACCACATTTAAATAAAATTTAGGAGCGTGTATCCTCATTCCTTGTATTGGAAAGGAGTCTGAATTTATTATTACTTGAAAAGTACTCTTATGATAAAGGGCTTGACAAACTTTATAAAATTTCAAGGCTTGTATTTTTTTCTAATTTATGCTAAGACAGTTGCAGAAAGTGCTTTCTTTATTTCCTTATTTATTAGGAGAAGATTGCAGATAGATGGGCACAGATCTTTGTTCTAACTGGTAATATAATATTGAAAAGTGATCTCAGTGGAGCTCTGGCAGTTGGTAGCATATATTTTCTAGTAGACAGTCTTGGAACAAACCAAAAATAAATGCCATTGTTTCTATTGTGGGCTGCCCTCTCCAGACTTGCCATTTCAGTGATATGCCTGGTATGAGATCTGTCAACAGATGCTGGTAACACATGATGACGTCCATAGGATTACAACGGCTGTGACGCCTAATTATAACTATGGTTCACAGAGTATTATGATCTGCTGTAATCCAGCCTCCTTGCTGGTTGCAGATGTCAGAATAAATATGAAGTACACTATAGGAAAGGAAAGTGAGTTGTAGCTTTGCTCTGTCTCTCTGAAGATGGACAACAATTTAAATACTTTGGTTGAGGTAGCATTTAGCCTGTGTCAAATCAAGAAATCAAGAAAATACAACAATTTGACCCATTTCCTGCATTAGACATTATTAGTAAAAACTTAAACCAGATCATATGGTTGGAAATTTCAGGCAGCAGTTTTAAAGAACGACTAAATAACAAAAATAAAAAAGTATTTTGGATGGACGTACTGTCTTCAGTAGGAACTAATTAGAGAATTACAGGCTTGATGTCTTTTGAACATGTAGATGGGAACCACAAGGCTGAAAACGTTTGAAGTCTGCTCCTTGACCCAGTACACTTCCACTGGCCACATGCGCTTAAACAGCAGTTGAAAGATCTGTGGAAGTGGCCCCTTGGTTCTTCAGTACTACATGGAAATAAATAAGTATTGGAAATCAAAAAGTCTGGCCAGAGGGAGTGAGATTCTCTTCTTCACTCTGCTCTGTAACCTTAGGCAAGGTGAGCTCACCTCAGATCTCAGTTTTCCCACTGTTAAAAAGGGGACAGCAGTCATGTTTGTAACAACTGATAGGAGTGGTTGGTTCTATCAAATGTCAGACTAGTGGTTAGCTGTCTTTCAGTCCCTACCCTGCTGGACTGGACTGGAAGTAGAAATCATGCTAGCTTATCATGGAAGACTTAAAAACTGATTTCTCTTCTCTCCATGATAAATTTATTTCTTCAGCTTAAAAAAAAAAAAAAATCAACAAACTCCACAAACCTTTTAACTTTCACTAGCCTGTATCTCAGTATAACTAAAAGGAACGTAGGCAAATGCAGTGTCCCTTAGCTTAGGAAGCCAAGCACAACAATGCTACTCAAAATGCAGATGTATTGTTTGCAACATATTTGAACTGCCAACACTACTTAGTGAGCTCTATGTTAAACAGTCCTCTTTCTTATTTGTAGCTTTTGCTGTAAATACTTTAATTGTAGGAGTGTGATTTTTAAACTTTGACATGAGATGTGATTTGTTAATTTTTGAAGTAAGTCTTAAGCCTTCAGGATAAAGATCTGTGGGTTGTGAAACAGTTGTGATCCCTTCTTCAGGACAGTTGTATTATACAGCCACTAAACTGGCTCCACATGTTTCATGTGTGTCTTCTCCAGTCATTCAGATATGTCTCTTACGCTGTTGCACTGAGACATGTAAAGAAAGAACTGGAAACATGTTCCTTGCCTTACTGATAATTATTATAGATAAATTATCTTATTCAAGCTTGCTGTATGGCCCTGATACCACTGCTTTGTTAGTGCAGGAGGGTTTTAATGTAGGTGTTAATGCAATTTCTGAATATTTGGATGGTTTATTTACGCTGGTACAGAATAAATGTGTCAGAATATTTATTTACCTTGATATTGCACTTTTTGTGAATGCAAATCTTGATGACACTGAACACTGTGCATGAGTGAGGACTTTGGAAAAGGTTCTTTAAGAAAGAAGCTGTGTCTTTCCAATCTTCAGGAGTATGTTTCAGATTACATTTTCAGTGTGACCTATAAGGATTTATCTGCGTGTCCTGGTTTGACTGGTAATACAACTTCTGTTATCCTTGGAAATAAAAAAAAATTTGCATTTGGAAGCCAAACGCATGGCAAATTATTTGGAAGAAACTACCAGGACTGTAAATTATGGACAACATCGTTCTTTTTCTAGTGTTTCTGCACCTTCATTAAGTTCAGCAGATTTGAGAGGTTCATTGCAGCCTGAAAGAGAAATTGACCTTGTGTTCAGTCTGACTGCAGTGTCTATAAATAGACTTACAGTCAGTGTCCTGAATTCACTCTGAAGTTTGTGTGGTCTTCTATGGGTGGAATCTAAATTGATTTCTTATCAGAAACCTCTTCCTGGAAGAAGTCAGATGAAGTGTAGTGGAAGGAAACAGCTTCATTCTTCAAATAACCAAGCCTGAATGAATGAAAAAGAAATGTAAGGCAGGAGAGGCTGGATGCCACCAGCAGGATTCAGTACTGTAGAAATACTCCTCATGGAATTACAGGCTCCAGTTTGAAATCATTGTCATGGAGAATATAGCAATATCTGCAGTGTGTACAGGGCATTCCAGCCTGGGTCTTGCTCTTGTACGGAAATTATCTGGAAATAATCAAAGTTGGCATTTTGGGTGTGGGTTTTGGCAGGGGTGGTGTTTGGGTTTTTTTGTTTTTGTCTTTTTAGATCATGCAAAATTCTTTCCTTGGATAATCAGCCTTGGGGTTAAGCTCCCATAGCATGCAGAGAAACCATCCATCTCTTGAGGTTTTTTAATGCGGTGGCACTTTTTACCCATGTGGTATTGTTGAGAAGGCACAGAAATTCCCCTGTGCACATGAGCAACATGAAGAGGGGCTGGATGAGAACCAGCAGTGAATGTAGGAGGTGTGAGGGAGGCAGAAGGTACACTCCTTTCTAAGAGAGTATCAGCCTTCTCATTACTTATT